TTATTCGTTCTTTAATATCTACGGAGTTGGTTCAAGATAAGTGTGATCAATTTTATGTGAAATTGAATGACAATTGTGTTTTACGTTTTGTTCTTCGGGAATTTGGTGTTGTAAGTTATTTAAACTGTTGTGGAAATGAACATGTTGAGGGTAACTTCAATGGACCCAATAGGTTGGTGGATACTTATTTTTCTGGTTTTGAAGTGGTGTCAAAGAAGTCGCTTATTAATTGTTTTGAAAAGAAGAAATGACAGTCTGATGAAGATACAGTTAAGATTGCAATCATTTATTTCATAAACACATTTCTAATGTCCACTCAGGCTCATAAAATATTTATAAGTAAACGTGATTTCCATCTTGTCGAGAGTGGTGAGTACGTGTCATTTCCCTGGGGTAAGATTGCGTTTCGAGTTTTAATGAAGTCGGTGAGGGACAGGTTGAGGGAAAGTTTGAGTTTTATGAGATTGGTGAATTTTCTCTTGCACTGTAGGTGTGGTTCTATGAATGTTGCACTGTAGTTGATCAAAAGTTTACTGTTCGCGTTGGAGATCATACATCACGCATATTAAATTGGGAAATGAGAGAGAGGTCAACGTGTGAGGACTTCTCTACAGGTTTCTTCAACAGCACAGGGAATAAGGTACCAACTTTTATGTCTTGATGGGATATACATATATAATACACTGTAATTCATTGTGATACATCGAATATACAGTTTTTATACATCTTTGATACATCTAGGACTGAAGCACTTTTGGTTACATTTGCAGTTTAAAAATATTTCTCCGACAACTGAAGAGCTAAGGAGATTTACTTTGCCTGTTGAAGTTAATGATGAGTATCAAAAATATTTGGCATCATGTAACAGGGGAAAACTTCCTATTAATGATAGCGATAATTTTGTCACGCCACCCCCGAAACAGATTAAGGAGCATGTCCCACCAAAAAAGGCGTCGGGTGTCCAACCTATTGATTTTTATCGTGAGTTGCAGAAGTTGAAAGCTGACGTGAAACAAATTTGTATTGGTCTTTTTTATATATTTTTTTGAAATTATTGTTAAATTGTATATTCAAAGTCTATTATCTTTCTTATTTATTTTATCTTGTAGCTCCATAAGCAGTTAAATTCTTTCATGGAATATGTTTCTGATAAATTTAAGGAAGTCCTTGCGTTGATAAATTCAAGGAAGTCTTTGAGTTTTTAGTTAACTTACTGTATCCTTTTTTTAAAAATAGCTTGGTGCAAGCGAAGACAAATATGGTGTACATCCAGAGGAAGACACCAGTGGTCCTCAAGACAACAATGATTTTGTGAGCAATATGGAGTTTGGTGGCAAAGAAGTTGAAATGGATGGTTGTAAGGTGTGTTTAGTTGTGCATGCTGCACTTTTCTCTTTTCTTTTCTTTGTTGTTTTTTATAATTCGATGCTTTTTTAAAAAAAATAGGTCGGTGGAAGTGAAGGCAAAGATGTTCCACATTCTCAAGAAGATACTAGTGAGTATCATCGTAACAACATTGTGCTCGATGTAGCAGATCAGTTAGGTGTCAATAGCATGGAAGGACCTTCTGGTGTGAAAGTTAACATGTTCGTTGCTAAAGTAACTTTCACACCAGATGTAGCACATGTTGGCGCTATTGCTGAGACAGTAGATGAGGCGGCAGGGGAGACGGAGGAAGAATCTGAGAGACAAAAGGTTCCCGAATCTCAGACTGGCGCTGTTTGTGTGACTGCAAGTGTTGATGAGTCGGCAAGGGAGATGAAGGAACAACCTGAGAAAGAGGTTGCTGAATCTTAGATTGTTCTGTACCAGCCTGAATTACTTCCTGAAGTTTCGCCGCAAAGGGAAAAAGAAAGAGATGTCCTGCAACGGCCGTGCAATCTCCGTTCATTACCTGTATTTGATTCAGGTTCCAGTACTGGTGTTGTTGCTGCGAAAGAAAAAAAGCAAATTTATGCTGTTAAGCATCTTTTTCAAAGCAAAATCGGAACTGGCATCAACTGCTCTTTGTTGAATGTATTTGTTGCGTGGGTCAAAGAAGGGAAGTCCAGAAAGAAGTATGTTTCCAACTTCTGAGTTTTGTTCAGTTTTATATTTTAATATATTGTCACTTATAGCATTATTTTATATCAAATCACTGTATTTCTTTTGTGTATATATGTTACCAGGAATGAAATTTACCCGAACCATGTTAGTGAACTCAATCCTGCCTATGATCCTTGTGTATATCATGTTGAAGACAATTACACTTAGGTATATAATGGTCAGCCTTTGGATGTCTCGGTATGTAAGAAGTTACTTTTACAGTTTTTTTATAATGGTCAGCCTTTGGATGTCTCAGTATGTAAGAAGTTACTTTTACAGTTTTTTTTTATTTTAATTTTAGCCAGTGTACATGTGATCAGTCCTCTTAAGTTAGAACAGAATATTAATTGCTATCTTGCGTGGCACAAGAGAAGTAGTGAGCATTTATTTTCCTTTGTTTTCTGTGAATTTGGTTTGAAAAACCGTAGATGCTTAAAGCTTACGAGCCTTCAGTGATTAATTATTTGTTATGTTTTGTTTCAGCACAATGATGTTTTTTTCTATTATCTGAGAAAGAAGGGGAAGTATGACAAAGACCTACCTGTAACATTCACCACCACATATTGGTACTTCAACGAGAAACTTAATGAGTTGTGGCAGGCATTTATTGATACAGATGGAGATAGTGATATGTGCAATCCGGAACATGTCATTGCAGAGTATATTCAGGAGTTTGTCTTGGATGCCAATATTCCATGGCACATTGTCGAGCACGTCTAATGCCAATTAATGTTGCAGAACAATGGAATTGGATAATGGTTGTGATGTCCATCAAGGATAGGTGCATTTATGTGTATGACTCTATGCGCGGTAGAGCTGCTCATCAAGCCAAAGTTCATAAGACCATTGCCAAGTATTCTGTGTTGCTGCCTCATTTTTTCGTGCACACGCATTTCTATTTAAACAAAAAAGATATCAATTGGCGCACTGGTGTCTACAAATCAAAGGACTTGATTACCCCTTTTGATGTAAAACTGATTGAAGGACTACCTCAACAAGTCGAAGCGTATGAATTTCTTTCAACACAATGTGTTTTGTGTTTAGATTCTACAGTTTGATAATTGTTGTTCTTTTTATTTTTGCAGTGATTGCGGTGTATTTGCGGCATCATTCGCCGAGTATTTCATTGAGGGCAAGACGTCTCCTAAAAAATTCAATGCCTATGCACAACGGCACATATTTGGTACTCTCTTATGGGATTATGCTAGAAAGAAGATGGAATTGAACGCGCAAAGTGATGATGAGATTATTGGTCGATAAAATAAGTCACGGAAGCGGAAGATATAATAACTTTTGTCATTGTTGTAGGATGAACTCAATAATTTCATTTTGTATTGTGTTATGTTATGTTGTCACTGTTGTAAGACGGATCAGATTTGTTTGTGTTTGAATTTTATGAATACTTCTAAGAATTGTATGGCAAATGAGATGTTTGCTCTGTTATAAAGGTTTAATGAGTTTTAGTGCAATATTGGAGAGTTGCAGTTTATTTTATTTTGGTGTTTTCTCCCTTGATTTTGTGTTGTGAATTAAAGATACGAAAAATATACGGTAGTTTCTGATACATTGTCTCTTGCAGATACATGCATGATACACATATGATACAGATATGATACACACATGATACAGAGATGATACAGTCGTTTGGATTGTTGTACAGTTAGTTTCTTAACAATGAGTTCTGCTGTTTGTTTGGTTTTGAAATATGTATTGATGAAGCCACACTCTTATTTGAAAATTTCTAATACTATTTGCATAGTTTTCTAGCTGCTACGACTGTTTTTCATTAGTTAGCTTTGTTACTACAAAAATACAGACATGAGTAAGAGCCGATACACAGAGATACATAGGTGATACACAAGAGATACATGGATAGTACAAATACGATACATAGCCGATACAACTTCTTTTTAATCAAACAGATGTATAATTTATCGATACACAGAGATACATAGGTGATACACAAGAGATACAAATATGATACATAGCTGATACAACTTCTTTTTAATCAAACCGATGTATTACACTTGCAACACGATTTTAAATGATAGATCAAATATTTATTTATATCTAAAATTCAATTGATATTCTGCATTGATACAGTTCTTGATATATTAGATTCTTCTAAATCTCTATGATATTCAGTAAAGTAAAATAACAAGTAATTCTAAGTTTGACATATTTCATCCTCTCTTTGGATTATTTCTACAAGTTTTCCTGTTGTGATCATCTTCTCCACACTGTCCACATGAAATCGACCTTTTTCGTTCCCTTTCAGATATTGGATTGCACCTCCCCTTCCTATTGTTTTAGTCACGTCTGGTGGCAAGACTTTCTCATCTAGAACTTCTGTAGGAATTTTCCATGTGCTTTCATCAAGAACCGGATAAATTGGAATTTTATAGGTACTTCCTGGTGTAGTACACTGAGCAATCCTCAATGTGATCGATGTATTTGTATTTTAATACTTCCCAAGCATGTGCACATGGCAGCTCATCCAACTGAAACCTTCTATAGATGCAAGTTCGATCTTTTAGGAACACCATTCTCTGCTTACCCTTGTCAAGTACTGAATATAAGTAACTAATCGAAGGGGTCACCTACAAAATTTATCAACTATCATTAGTGGTGACAAAGCAGATGCCCTCATAATACATATACTAGAGAGCCTACAAGATTCAGAATAGCTTAATATCATGTCAAACCGACCAATATTTCAGCAGTGGGGTAGGCATAGATGTTACATTAAATTGAAAGCCTTTGTTTTTGTGCAGGTGGACACTAGTTTAACAGAATCACACAAAGGGTTCAAGATATAACAGATCCGTGAATTCGGCATGATTACATATTATATGCACAAGTATCTACAGATTCCAATCGTACCTTCATCCGATGTGACAATCCGAGATTGTCCATCAGCATTGTATCATGTTTTTCCCAAGATCAGTAAATGACTCTATTGCATTCTTTTGGTTTGTAACATTCCATCGGCCAATTAATTGCCTTATGTACTCCAGCAAAGGCGGTACTGGGAGTTCCCTAGCAGCCTTGAGCACTACATTGATCGACTCTGCAATGTTTGAAGTCATTGCCAATGTTCTGTTGACAATGGAATGTGCTCTGGACCATCTTTCATACCCAACGTTCATAAAGTAATCTTTGACCCTCTTATAAATTTTCTCTACCTCTGCCATGTGGTAATCAAACTTCTCAATTGTGTATGCTTTGGCCATAGCAAAGAATATGTCTTTGAGCTGCAAATGGTTCTTCTTGTAAAATTTTTTATATTATTCCATAGATGCCATATGCAGACATACTGAAGTACTTGTGGATACAATGTTGTCGCTGCATTTTCAATGCCTTCATTCTTGTCCGAGACTATGAACATTCCCTCCCTTTCCCAAAATGCATCCTTGAACCTCACGAAAAACCACTCCCAGGAAGCATTATTCTCTGAATCTACTATGGCATATGCGAGTGGTAGGATACTACCTAATAAATTGAATTATATAAACATATGTGAGTATATATATGAATAATATATACATATTCATACATACATACATACATATATATATATATATATATATATATATATATATATACATATACATACATACATTATTCTTATTTTTACCTGTTGGATCTTGTGTGGATACTATCAATAATGTTCCTCCATATGTCGATTTAAGAAAGGTTCCATCTAAAGCAACAACCGGCTTGTAATACTGTCATCCTTCTATAGACGGATATAGTGCGACGAAAGCATACATGAACAGGTCTTCCTCTATTTTTTTCAAACTTACCACCGACATAGGATTTGTAAGAACCAGCATATAAAGTCGTTTGGCAGCTTTTCATATGATTCGCTCGAGTTCCCTCTCAGTACTTAAACTGTATATTCTTTCGATCTAGATACTTGCATATATGTCATTTGAAGACCATACTGCTTTTTTATGTCTCCAATTATGTCATTAGGAGTGTATATTATTTTTGGGTCTTTATACTTGTCTATCAGAAGAGTGTCGATGAGTTTTGCAGTAGCTTGACGTAGTGCGTAAGATCTTCTTTCAACGGGCATGAGTGCAGTTTGCTGAAATTTCTGACCTTGAAAAGTTTTGCTTTTTTCAGGCTCAAAGACTTAAAATACCAATCGCAGTTGTTGTTAATGCATACTAGGCAGTACCTACGACAAGGATATAAACATTTCCATCAATAAACAGAGCGACATGAAATACAATGATATATAGTGATACACACTGCCATCACCAATACTAGATGAAAAAATACAATGACTATACAGTACTAGACGGTGACAACCACAACTTAAAAGTGCACAGCCACAGACTTACAAGCAACAATTTGTTTTTTGCATAATTATGCTTCTAACATCAATTACGATATACATTGAGATACATAATTATACAGTAAATATTTTGATACTTGCTTTCACTTTATCTGTGCACCTTAAACTGAAATTTTTCTTTTACTGTCAAGTGCTTCATGACTTTGACTATCGTAGCCTTGTCTTTATAAATTTGACTTTCTTCTACATCTATGTGTTGAGGGTCAGTAATTATTTTATTTTCATCAGATTATGTATCCTGTCGGTCTTCTCCATCCCCAAACTCGATCATATTAATTGTATCGCCATTGTATCTCTCCTCTATAACTGAGCTTTGTGCACATTCTGAGAAAATCACAGCAGAATTTGAATTGTAGCAGATCATGTCCATATCCCTTTCACTCGATGTTATACAAAGGGATACATTGTAAATTTTGAGCTTTTTTTCAGCTCAAGATATATACATACACCCATACTATCGTGTATCACTATTGGTGGAGAAGCGTTTTGGACAGTGTACTTGATTTCAATAACATTCAATGAAGTATCTATCATAAGTCGTTTCGAAATCACGTCTACAAAATCTTCAAAACTTGTATTTGGAGTAATTATTACAGCATCTGCAGAGTCAATTACTCAAATGGTCACTCAACTATCTCAAATTATCTCCTAAAGTCACTTTTCTTTCGTTTGTAACAACAAAGTCACTGAACTATGCCTATTGCACTCAGAAGGTCACTCAACTAGATTTTCCAAATTTTGGATTGCCAAATACCTATTTTACCCTCTAAATTATAAATATTTATCTTCTTTTTATTATTTTTTTTGAACTTTTTAATATTATGATTTTCTATTTTAATTTATATTATGGACTTACTTATAGAATAAATAACTATTATTTATAAACTAAAAATATAAAAAGTATTTAAGCATCTATAATGCCGGAATAAAAAAATAATGAGCATAGTAAAAAAATTAAGTAGAATAATTTGTTAATAATAATAATTTTAGCATTAACAACAAAAAATTAAAAAGTTTATTTACACAATTCAGAATGAAAGAAAATAAAGGTTGTGAAATATATAATGTATATTATAAAAATACATTTATCTAAATAATTATTTTATATTAATATATATTTTACAACCTTTATTTTCTTCATTCTGAATTGTGTAAATAAATTTTGAACTTTTTGTTGTTAATACTAAAATTATTATTACTAACAAATTATTCTAATTAATTTTTTTACTATGCTCATTATTTTATTATTCCAACATTATAGATGCTTAAATACTTTTTATTTTTTAATTTATAATAATATTTATTTATTCTATAGGTAAGTCCAAATAAATTAAAAAGGAAAAATCATAATATTAAAAAATTTTAAAAAAATAAAAGAAGATAAATATTTATAATTTAGAGGGTAAAATAGGTATTTGGCAATCCAAAATTTGGAAAATCTAGTTGAGTGACCTTGTGAGTGCAATAGGCATAGTTCAGTGACTTTGTTGTTACAAACGAAAGTAAAGTGACTTTAGAAGATAATTTGGGATGGTTGAGTGACCATTTGTGTAATGGACTCGCATCTGCATTGTAATCTTGAAGCTGTTGTCAACATTCCATCGGTCACCATACTGAATAAAAATTGGTAAATTTGTCATTGAAGTAGCTGAAATTAGGTCAAAACTCACTAATTCCTTTATTGATTTTGATTGTAGTTCGTAGTTCCTTCTACACATAAATCGCGAAAGATGTATCTACACAGAAATCGCGAAAGAAAATTGTTGCTTCTATAGCGAAATTGATCGATTTTGAGTGAAATTCGGAGCTCCTTTTGAGAATTTTTTGGGAGAGAATGTTGTGATTTACAGAGGGATAGAATGTCGTGATCTGTTAAATTGATACCTTGAAAAACAGGGGAGGAAGGAAGATCTTTAGCGTGATTCTCGGATGGAAGAATCCTTCCTTGCGTGTATCTCTAATTTTGGGCTACTTTGGTAAATGTCTAATTTTGGGCTAGAGGTAGGTAAGTTTGTGTTTAAATTGACTAGTTCTATACTTTTCCCAAAAATATATTCTTATACCTACCAAAATTTACAATCTGCCCCATAAAATTAGAGACCAACACAAATTTTCTAATGATAAAAACTTGAGTCACGTTGAGTGGGTTAAAATACAATTCACTATTTGAATTGTCTCGAATTTTGACCCAATCGGTTTTGGGCAGATTGAATAATAAAAATAAGTTTGTTGATTTGACCTATTTTGGCCCCTTAATTTTGATCCTACGAGCAGGGGCGGATGCACCTTGCGATAAGCGGTGTTACATGACCCCACTTCATTGGAATTTTTATTATATATATATATATATATATATATATATATACAAAATAAAAATATTTGGTCTAAATATAAAAAATGACACTGCTTTTCATTATAGTAATTTAATCATTCGTTCATTTTTTTTTAAATGTTAGACACTGTTTATCAAAAATTTTGCGTAATCTGCTGCATACAAGAGTGATGCAAAAGACTAGTTACCTTAAGCAAAAAATGTTACTTACTCAATCATTAAAATTATTCCTTTTTTATTGAGCTTTTAATTAATCACTTCAACCCTCTCTCATTATTTAAAGGGCAAAGTGACAAATTTGTCCTTGTACTATCTAAGATAGAACTAATTTGGCTTGCTTTTGAGTTTAGTCTAATATCATCCCCATCGTTAGGGACAAGTCTCGTTTTTACATTTGATCACTAACGGAGCGACAACACGAGGGTAAATTTAAACTACAGTCAACAGTTTAAGGGTAAACATGGACTTTTTTCTCGAAAAAATTAGACATGTGGGGTGTGTTTGGTGCGAAGGAAAATATGAAAATGTTTTCCTAGAAAATATTTTTCACAAAAAATGAGTGGTTTTATCACTTATTTTTCATTGTCTGGTTGGTAAGTAGAAACTTTTTCTGGAAAATATTTTCTACTGTTTGGTTAGAGAGTAGAAAATATTTTTTTAGGAAAATACTTTTTTATGCTACACCCCCTTTCTCCAATTGGAGGAAAATATTTTCCAAAACATTTAAGCCAGCTAAACATGGGAAGATTAAAAAATATTTTCCAAACCCTTATAAGCTTTAGAAACTCGCCCAAGATTATTTTTAAGCTTGATTTTAGACTACTTTGGAGGCAAGACAAGTGTGAGAAGAATAGCAAAACATTAGAGTTCTTCTATCCTCTCTTTATTATTTTTCAATTGCCCATTATGAATAATTTAGTAGTTTTATGTTGTTTTGTCATGAGTAGCTAATTCCCTAGTCTAGGGTTTTGATGGAACCTATTGAAGGATGAACTTCTTGTTATGTTAATATAGTTTCCCCGGTTTAATCTCTATTTGTTCAACTATGTTCTTATTGTAGTTAATTGACAGGATCCTCAATTAGCTGTGCCTATTTAGTGTGCATAACTCGGGAGAGAGTGAATATTTAGGTCAATTGTTGAACAACACCTCTCCCAAAGTATATGAGGGATCCATAACTGCGGGTTTAAAGGCGGGATTAGGGATAACGAAGCCTTGGGTGCAATCTAAAGTGAGCTGTAATGAATAAAGTCAGCTAGCGTAACTCGGGAGAGAGCGTCTAGCAAATTGTCGTGATTACTCGGGAGAGATTTACGGTAATAATAGTGCTCATGATTGATAGAGATGATTAGGCAATTCTATGTGACACATAACCGGAAGGGATTCCATCAATAGGGGAAATCATAACCTTAGATCCTTCTCTTAATTGTTTACAACTTAATCATAGTTAGATTACAGCTGTTTATTTACATTCATTCTTAGTTAGTAGAAACATATTCAATTGTTATTCACAATGTTTGGGAAGTTGATTCCGT